ACTTACATTCAGGTCTTTGATCCATTTTGAATTTACTTTTGTGTATGGGGTTAGACAATGATCCGGTTTCATTCTCTTACATGTAGCTGTCCAGTTCTGTAAGCACCATCTGTTGAAGAGATTGTCATTTCCCCATTGTATGTCCATGGCTCCTTTATTGTATATTAATTGACCATATATGTTTGGGTTAATGTTTGGAATCTATTCTGTTCCACTGGTCTGTGGCTCTGTTCTTGTGCCAGTACCAAATTGTCTTGATTCTAGTAGCTTTTTGTAAAGATCCTCCTCTTTCCCACTCCTCTATGGATGTGGGGTCCTGGAGGAGAGACCCACTAATGGTAGGACCTTAGCTAACTTCACACCTGTCAGACCAGGTTTCTTTACTTGGTGTTTCCCAAAGTGGTGTGTGCAGACCACCGATGGGACAACAGATGAATTTAAGTGGTTGACAGATTGCTGTGGTTTGAATGTTGGAGACCCCTATTAACTAATTTGAGTTTTATTAAAATCTTAACCTTCAAAGATGATGGTATTAGAAGTGCGGACTGTGGGAGGTGCTTAAAAGTCATGAGAATGGAGACCTCCTGGATGGGATTAGTGCATTATAAGAGAGGCTCTGGAGAGCTCTCCCATCCATTTTGCCATGTGAGACTACAGTGAGAAGTCTGCGACCCAGAAGAGGACCCTTACCCAGCCATGATGACACTCTGATCTTGGACTTCTCTGCCTCCAGAAATCTGAGAAATAAATTTGATTACAAGCCATTCAGTATGTGGCATTTTGTTATACCAGCCCAAACAGACTAGGACACAGATAAACTTACTTTTAATATAAAAAATGTTCATTAGAAAAATAAAAAGCTTATAAAACCCATGATTTTGTAGTTATTATTGGCAAGAACGAGGATACATAAAATACAATTAACTTAAAAGTTGATTAAAAGAAACAGTGCTTCACAGCTGAGTGGTACGAAGACGCAGCAAACTCAAAGTGGCACACAGCTCGACATGTTTAGGAAGCTGCTGATGCCTTTGCTATCTCTGCTCCCCTATGCCTAGCTCATGCAGCATCCATTGGTGCCCATACCTTCTAGCAGATATTCCTATCAGCATTTAAACATACCCACATTCTTCTCACCTTTAAACAAAAGAAGACCCTCCCTCACATGCCTTTCAGCTACAGCTCTCTCTCTCTTTCTACTCACAGTCCCTTGTCGAACCGGTAGAGACGCTTGCTGTCTGGCTACAACAGTCCCACCTCCCACTCATCCCTCACACACTCCGGTTTCCGCAGCGACCACGGCAAGGATACAATCTACCTGAATAAACCCAATGAATGCTTCCTAATTATCTCACTTGATCTCTCAGGAGCACTCAGTGTGCATACCCTTCCTTCTATCAAATTACCTGCTGGTTCCTTTTCCCCAAACAAGACGAATGTTGGTGTTCTTCATGGTTGTGTTTCAGGTTCACTGCTCTTCTTACGCTACACACTGTTCCTGGGTGATCCCCGCCACTCCCAGGGTCAAAGATCATCCGCAAGCTGATGAATCCCAAATCCATGTCTCCAATTCCCGTCTCTCCACTGAGCTCCTGACCTGTTTATTCAGCCAACTTAGATATTCTATGGCAATCCCAATTGTAATACATCCAAAATGGAACACATCAGCTTTTCCCTGTATTTGTTGTAGAGGTATTTGAGAGTATCCAACTAGTTCCCCAAGCCAGAGACTATATTCCTTGACTTCTGACCCCAAATACGTTCACCCAATCCATCTCCATGCCTACCTCCACATACTTTGCTTCTCTCCCCGTTACTATCACACCAGTAGAGGCCACTGTCATCTCTAGCTAATCAACTATAAAAGTCTCATCACTGGTCCCAGCCCACTGCCACCTTCACAACACATGAATTCACAGCTTCTGCATCTTTAGATAAGGTCCACAACTCCTAACGTGGCTCCCAGTTCGATCTCCTAGACTGGGCTCCAGAGTCACATGAAGGACGTTCCAATTCTTCGAATACTCTAGATACTTTTATGCCTTTGGGTCCCTGCACACATCCAAGAGCCTCTTTGCCCCAGGCCCTGGCTCAGAGCTACTCCTGCTCTAAGTTTTAGATTAAACATTACCATGTTTTTCCCTATCATGTCACTCACCATCCTGTACTGTAATTCTTATTCAGTGTCTGCCTTCCCCTTTACACAACACACCCTATGCTGGCAGTAACCACAAATGTCTCATTCGTCATTGTATTTTCAGGGATTGGCATCATGCCTAGCACAGTAGTAGATAATAAGTATCTGTTTAATGAGAAAATGAATACATAGCTTTTCAGACACCAAAGGTAATGAGATATCTCCAGGCCCTTAAAACAAGACTGTCTGAAACAGAAAAATACTAATTTTGTTTGAATATGGCAAACATCATTTTGTTTTTCAGCTACCTAAAGAATGCTGTGCAAACGGCTATGAGACTCGACATATTTTCAGCATCAAACCCAGATACATTGTCTTCTGAGCTACTGTAATGGTTTACTGTCTGCTGCTCAACAGTTACCTTGCTTACTTCCTTTAAGGCCCTTTTGCAGACTTCGTACTTTGGAGAGTCCTTAGGTGTTTTTTGACAGATAGTCTGCAATGAAGTAAAAAAAGAACATAATCAATTATTTCTTTTATTAAAGAAAATAAAGCCAATGTACAGCCATATCCTCTTACTCATGGCAAACTTAACAAGGCTGAGCACAATATTATGGATGAGTATGAAGATGACATTAAAATCCAATTTAAAAAGTAGGAAATAGTCTTTAAATGCACGGGATCTAAGAAAATCCAGGGAATGGTTAAAATAGATGACAGACTCCAGAGGTAGATGAACCTCTTTTGAAATCCAACTTTTGTCCCTTACTAGCTACTCCACCTTGGGCAAGTCACCTACTCTGTTTTGATAAGCCTGTTTCCTCATCTTAAAATCAAGATAATGCCAGTAATGCTGTTGCAAGGGTTAAATAATAATACACCTAAAATTCTTTATGAGTGCTTAGCACACAGTAGGCATTTGATGAATGATAAAATTACTTTAATATCACCACCATCATAATTAGAGGTAACTGTAACTACAGATGATACAATTGAATAAAAAGATTAAGGAAAAAAGTTGCTAGATTTTCTTTTGCTATATTTATACTGCAATTTTTGTGATGGGAAAGTTGAGTTAAAAGAGGGTCAGTTTGACATCAATTAAATTAGATGTAACTTCTGAAGCCAATGGTACCATTTTAACTGTTAAAAATTTCACCTCAATTAACAAATATAATTGAATCTCCAAATAAAGTAAAATTAGAGAGACAAATGTGTTGAGTACATTTAAATTCTGCCTCAGTGGCCAGATTCTCACACACAGGAAACAGATCAGGGCACGGGCATCAAGCCGAGGTGCAAGGTAGCTAGGAACTGGCCAGCCACTAGTAGCATAAATGTAGATGAGTAGCAGGCCTATAAATTCGAAAGTCAGGTGTCAGGATTGCTATATGTAATATGCAAGAAGCACAAAGTGTGCCATCTGTGGGTTTATATTAATGTTCTCCATTTTTGTACAGTGGCCCACTATGAGCAATACATTCACACTGCAACCAGTACAGGCACCCACAAAAGTGAAACAAGATTTTCTATAAAATAATATTTACCCATGTGGTTATGAGCCATGTTCATATTGTGTATCACCTGCTCTATTCTATTTCACTTTTTAAAAACACTGCTCATGATTCAAAGTCAATTTCATGACCCACTTGCTACAAAGGCAATTTGAAAAATGGTAGATTATGTCCCTGAAACTAACCATCTTGGGGCCATAGTGTCTTTACACACTTTAAGTTTTCATAACATTTTGCGCATACTCAATTTTCTAGGGAGAATGACTACAGCTTTAATCAGATTCCCAAAAGGGTCCCTGCCCAGCCCCCTCAAATTTAGAGTCCACTGAGGAATCATGGGATAAACCTCCGACATGGTACCATATGGTGTGCTACATTTTGGAATCCCAATCTATGTTGTGAATCCCAATTAACTGATTGTCAGGTTAATCCCAAAATTAAACAGAGAGAATACAGGTTGAGAGATCACAACCTACACAGAATCTAAGGAAACATGGCAAAAATGCATTTCAGAAAAAGAACTCTACAAGTTCTTAACATTTTTAAAGAAATGTTACATTTAGAAAGCACCCATTTCTCATTAAAAAAAATAAAGTTTGAAATACTATTTCCCAATACGGAACAAAGTTTCATGTTTTTATAAAAGTCTTAGAAGTCACATGAAATAAACTATTTTAAAAAATGATTTCTTACTTGATGAAATCTTATAGAAGAAAGCACAGTAGCTGCTCCTTGAAGATATTTTTGAAAAATTCACAATATTAATACAACTCAACTTAAGCCTATATACTATATTTTTCAATTTAGTCAAGAAACATTGAGGGTCTATTATTGTCAGGCTTAACATTTGCTGTTTCATTTGTTTTCATGCTAACCCTGCAAGTACCTATTACACTTGTTTCAGATAAAGTTAAACAATGTGTTTGCCTGGGATCATACAGTAAGTGACAGAGCCAGAATTAGTACCCAGCAAAAGCCATAGGATTCCTACTACACCAAGTTACATGTCAGAGCCCCTTCTCCCAAAGAGCTCTGGGCGTTCAGATGAGGAGGAAGAGATACCGGGTGGGGAGAGGGGCATCGGGTAAGCATTTATGCAAGAAGGAGCACTACAGCTAGTGCTTATTTTGATCATGTGGAAATGGAAGGTTGCAAAGTGGAAGGCAAGAACATTGTGAGCAAAGATGAAGAGTGAGAAAGTCTGGGAATATGTAGGAAATAAGTTTGGATGGAACCTAAAAATAAACCTTTTTGTAGCCAAAATTTGATTTTGATAGCCTGGCTGCATTTTACCATAGACATGATAAATACTGATGACAAAAAAAAAAAAATCAGAGCTAAATTTAAAAAATTCTGCAAGTCTCCCAATGTTTCCAAGGAGAGAAGTTTCTAGGACACAGCTGATGGAATGGGAATGGTGTGAAGGTAACGCACTGAGGTGAACTCAGAGAGCAGCAGACTGCTGTGAGTTCTGAAATTACTGCCCAAACCTCCCCAAACTGTGCAGCAGAGCCAACAAAATGATCATGATCACAAGCTTTTACTCATTTGCGAATTTCAGTGTTCTTCAGAATAGCTTTTAGAATTTATAATGAAAAATAAAAGAAATGGAATTTATTTTGTGACCTTACACAATCATAATTCTTTGACATATTTTAATTGTTTTGATTTATAAAAATCAAGTATGTTAAAACAGCTATCATCCTAACATTAAGACCCAATTTTAAGGTAGAACTTTGACAAAAATTTTAATTTGATCAAGAAGTCACTCTTTGGCCCAGTAGCTGGATGGGAGTTGTGGGAGCCCCCTATTCTCCCCTCGCTGCCACTGCAGTGCCAACCAGGCCAGTTTGCAGCCCCCTTGTACCCCACCTGGCTGCCGTCTCAGCTGCGCTTCATGACAGGCAGGCTCTACTCACTGCTCCCAGCCATGTCTTACCACTATTCAAAATCAAGTACTTGTTTTCTTCATGAACGTTCCCTAAAATAAGGATGCTAGACTTCCCTGACCCACTTCGTGCAGTGCAAAACAGGGCAAGTGTATACCTTGAAGTGCCTGAGGGTCTCTTTCCTTTGTGCAGTGAAAGCACCACAGGTCTTGCAACAATACAGGGAAGGCACCTTAGTGATCAAGTTGAGGAAACTGAGGCCAAAAGAGACGGAGTGAATTGCCCAAGGTCACACGCCTAGCGGATCAGCTGAAAACGGCATCCAAGCCTTTTAGCTTCAGGAAGTTAATATTTTTTCCATTTTCAAAAATGTTGAGTGAATGATGTAATCTTAATTCTTCAGTGTGACCATACATGCCTAAATTGAAGATAATGTCTAAAGATATTAGACACAAGTGAGACTCTCCAATGGAATAGCACCTTCTTACTTAACTGGGGTATTTTATAGGACGGATGTTCATCGATTTAAGTGGAATAAGAATAATTTTGTTAATCAACTTTTCTTAATCAGCTGCCACAGCACAGCTATCCACAGAGGAAAGGGCCACTGGATCATATCTTACATCCATCAGCAGAGGCAGGCGGGTCACCCTCTGCATGGGGAGAATGAGGAACGAGATCATGGGTAAGTTCCTACAGTCTTCGTGGGACTCAATTCGTGACAATACTTCCTTAAAAGATGGATTGGTGGCTCTGAGGAAAAACGAAGAAAGACAGACTTCAAAATACTTCCTCTTCAAGTTAAGAAGCAAGCAAAAATATACTATAAAATACTGTGATGCATTCATATATTATCAATGATTTTTTAATATATAAAATAATAAACACATAATTACATAAGTAGACATGGATGGCTTGTCTGCTTTTTAGTCAAGACTGCATATAAATACGAGTTTGAGATAACAGTATGAACACCAAGAAATCTATGAGTAAGAAATTTATAGAAGTAGAAAGTAAACAAATGAAGAGGCAATGATATTGTAATGGTGAAAGTATCAATTATAAATTAAGATACAGATTAGATCTTATATCTGATCATCTATAAGCATTCTGCTAAAAAGATAATAAATGATGCATTTTAAGTCACTACTCTAACCCTAGATAATAATCTAAAAAAGAAATACTAGACTGCATTTATTTACTAGGAGGATCCTGGCCTTTTCCAAAGCTTCTAAGACAGAAAACCTTTTGATCATGCCAGCCAGAATATTTCTTCCAGGTGATATAAGAACAGTGATAATACTGCCACAACATTTTACAGACTCTCACTCTCTCAGCTTACTTCACCCAGAAGGAGCTCTGAGGAGTCCCCTGTGGCATACAAGGAGGGTGGGGACGGTGATGGCACTGGAGACTGTCATCCGTGGTGGCAGGGAGGGGGCAGGGGAGACCAAGAAGCAGGGTAGTGGCAATTGTGTCCTTTCTTTTAAAAAATGTATTTTGAAAATTAGATGATTTAGTTCAAGTCTGCTTAAATCAATTAGCAAATACCCAAAATAGCAAACTAAAGGAAATTAACAGAAATGTTTTATTTTTATTTTCTCAAATTGCAGTTTGCAATTAGTTTCATTTCCTGCTGGCTTTGAAAAGATTTTTAGGAAGTTAAAAAAAAGATCAAACTTTAAGAGGGCTGCATATTTAAATCACTCAGGTCCCAGGATCCACACCCTCAAATATTCTGATTGAGTAGTCTGGGGTGGACCCTGGGCGTTCCATGTTTGACTGTTTTCAATGATTCTCAAAGCATTTCCAAGCGCAGCTAAAGCCACTGCCCTAAATATAAATACACATCACCTTCAACAAAGCCCCTAAAAACACAACCACTAATTTCCACGTGTAAGTTCAAATGATGTTATCATTAAGTTAATTTAGATAAAACTTGCATTTTTTTAAAGAGTTACATGACATACAGCAGTTCTGATTCAAATTTTTTAAATCCTCAAAGCAGAATGAAATTTAGCTCTGCTTCAGGGCTCTGTTTTTCAAACATGTAACTTGCATTTCTGAACAGGTACAGAGCAATCTCTGTGTCAGCAGTTCTCAGCAGGGAGTGGGGATTTAGGGAAAGCAAGGGGTGAGATTTTGGCATTTGGCAATGTGGGGAGACATTCTCGGTTTTCACAAGTGGTATGAGGGCATCTAGTGGGAGGAGGCCAGGGATGGTGGTACACATACCCCATAGCAAAGACTTGCCCTGCCCAGCATGTCAGCTGTGGGTTTTCTCTCCAGCCCATGCAAGAATTTCATAAGGATGTGGCAGGGGAAGGGGCATAATCAGCCATTCTCACAACTCTAGGAGCTTCAACAGTTTCCCCCAGGCAGCAATGAGGTCATCACTATCAATGCAGACCCTCTGTAGGGACCCACACATCACACAGTTTACCAGAGCTCAATGTATGCTCATAAGTGCCACAACTCACAGAGGGGGTAAGAATGATATTAGCCAGTAAGCCCCCAAACTAAGTTTACTGCAGTGTATAATTGTGCTGTAAAACACATAGCTCCTTAAGATAAACAGGGCCCCGGAAAATCAAACAGGGCAGATATTTACTGAACAATCACTGACTCTTAAGGAGACAGTAGGCAGGCATTCAATCCCATCAAAACTTTGAGTAACCTAAATAGGAGAAAGGGAAAAGCTGTGAAGAGAAATCTAAAGCTTAATTCTTTTTGCTGCATAACTAAAGTCTTTAGGAACCCTTTTCGTTTATTGCTTTCCTTCAGACCTTCTTTGCTCTCCTCACCCTGAACCACCCAGAGAGGGAGAATCAGCAATTCCCATCAACAACTGAACGAAGTTGTCATTTGACTGGAGGAAGATTAGGATAGTAGAGAAAACCGGATCCTAGGCACCAGCCCAACCACTCAAGAGCTTCCCCTTGGCTTCCGGCAAACTACTTCGTGGCCAGTTAACAGCCTAGAAAACTGAAGAGTTTGGAATGATGGCCACCCCTGTGTCTTGCAGCAATTTAAAAAAACAAGGAAAACAACAAGAACAGACTATAATTTCGTAATTGCTCTAGAGAGCAAATTCTCCACAGACTAGGGTTTTTTACTCGAACACCCTAAGCCTAAAGTTAATCCTCCCTGGGAAACAGCCCAAGAGGCATTTCTAAATATGGTTTAAGAGATCAATTAATTTCAATCATGTGACCTAATTAAAAGGAGGTCAGTCTATTAACGGTAACACGCAACATTGCTTACAACAATTTTTGTAGTGTTCGTTGTTGGTAGACTTCATTTGTGCAGTATTTCACATATGGGTCAAATGTAGATGTTGTATGTTTCTCCACAATGTCACTTATGTCATCTATGAATATATTATTCTGATGTCTTGCTTCCAACTCTGTAAAGAATCTGAAAAGAACAAAAAAAGCATTTATACATTCTTCCATATATTTTAAAAAGACATTATGTAATGCTGTGTACACAGATACATATTGAAAATGCCAACAGTACACAATACTAACTCAAAAAGATACAAGGAGAAAACCTACAAAAATTGCCAAAATTTAAATCTATCATATTAACACCTTATTACTTTAGTGTCTGGCTTAAAATGTTGATAATCCAGGGCATTTCTGTGCTTTCAGGTACATTTTAGAAAATACAGAGTTCACTATTTTTCCAAGAATTCCCTAGATACTGGAAGGGGGCAGGGTTCATTCTTACATATCTTATTGTATTAAAAGGTATGTGAGCAAAACATATAAGTGCTTAAAAAATAAGTCTGAAATAAACCTAATTCTATGTGTCCATTCTCTGAAAATAAATTATATTTTAATTCTAATACTATGTATAAGATTTAAATATCTTCATAAATTACTTAGATTGCAATTACAGCCATCAGATTTAGAGTGTGTGTGTGTGTGTGTGTGTGTGTGTGAGAGAGAGAGAGATCTATCTATCTAATGTCTAACCCAGTTAAAATTAAATTTCAGATAAAATGAATAATTTTTAGTGCAAGTATGTGCCAAATATTGCATGGAACATCTTTGGTATCCTGTATTTTATCTGGCATGTCTAGATTGCATCTAATTTTAGCATAACACCAAAATCAGATAATTGAAATAGGTTTCTACCCAAAATGTTGCTGTTCAAAATATGGTCCACAGACCAAGCAGCACTAGTATCACCTAAGAGCTTATTAGAAATGCAGAATGTCACTACCCACACCTTCCCCAATCTGAACCTGCATTTTATCAAGATCTCCAGATGATCGCACATTAAATGCACACTGAAATTGAGAACTGTCTTAGAGTACACCTATTGTCTAAGTTTGGAGTTGTAGGAAAATCTATTAGAAATAACTATCACACAGGACCAAAGCATTTTCAAAAAAATGCGATAAAGGTGAAATTAGCAGTATTTCCTTATGTTGCCTTCTGGAATAGTAATACACGGGAAATTAATTTTCTACAAACTCATAAGCCTCCAGAACATCATTCTCCTTACCAGTTAGCCAGGGGGAACTCCAAAATACAAACTTCAAGGCTGACAGTAAACAAAGACAACAGAAATTTATACAGGATGATTTATAGTAAATATGAGCCAACATTCATTCACATTTGTAACACAGTTATTTTCAAAGAAAATCCTGGCACTTAGAAAAAAACAATCAGGACACTATGGAGCCCTGTGTTTTATATTTTTACATGTACATTGAACTCATTTTAGTATAAATTGCATTATTTTGTCATCATCTGTTTTATTTTTTGAAGTTTCCATAGGAACTTAAAAAAAGTAAGAAATATATTTTAACTTCCTAGAACAGTGAAATTATTTATACTCTGAGAAAGTACCATATTTTTATTTCCCTCAAAAAGGACTTAGAAAAAATAATCAGTATGATTCTCATCCATAAATTATAATTGGCCTAGTCATCTGATCCACTTGTTAAAAACAGCAAAATGGAAAAATTTAAAGCATACTTTGCTGGACTATTTGGCTTTCCTTCCAAAAGTGTCAGGTTAATATGCACAATTTTTAGACAGCAGGCCAGAAAATCCATCAGTACACTCCAAAACCCCATCAATATCTTCATATCACTTTGTAAGGGCTGTGTCTCTGTGTCTATTAACATTCAAATAAAGTGCCAAACCCTTTCCTAATTGTTTCAGCAATTTCAAAAACAACCAACTCCAAACCCCCATACAAACAAAAGCCACATTTCTTAAAGGATTTTTTTTACATAGACAGGTCCCTGATTTAAGCAATTTGTGATATATTATTAAGGTAAGGATGATAAATAAACATAGATGATGTAAGAAAACAACATGCTTGTGTATAGCCACATGTTGGAACCTATGTACATGAAGTTGTAGGTGGTAGTATGTTCTTTTTTAATTACATGGCCTATATATTTTTTACTGTGGTAAAATATACATAACATAAATTTGCCATTTTAATAATTCAATGGCATTGATTACATTCACGATGTTGTGCAACCATCACCCCTACCTATTTCCAAAATATTTTCATCACTCACACAGAAAAGTATACCCATCAAGCAATAATTTCCCATTTCCCCACTCCACAGCCCCTGATAATCTCTAATCTACTTTCTATCTCTGTGAATATGCTTATTTTAGATACTTCTGGAATCATTTGATATTTGTGCTTTTTGTCTGGTTTATTCCACATAGTGTGATGTTTTTTAGGCTAAGCTATGTTAAGGCATGTATCAGAACTTTATTCCTCCTTATGGCTGAACGGCTGAATAATATTCTATTGCATGCATATACCACACTTTGTTTGCAAGTGACGATAAAGCCGGGCAATGGGAAATCGAAAAAAGAGGACACAGATTAGGGTACCCATTTGCAGGGCAGGTTCATAGAATGGAGAAACTCATTAGATAGGAAGTCAAAGAAGATGCTGTTTCTAGTCAAGGTTTCTGTAGGGGCATCCAGGTGGGTCACTGAACCATTCATGAAGACAGGGACTTGGAAGGAAGGAGGAGAAGCAAGAGGAAACAGTTTAATTTTGCCTTGGGGAAGTCAAAGGGACAGCTGAAAATATGTCTGTGAGAATTCAGAGCCGTAGGAATTCTAGGTAGTATGTAGTCAGGACTAGTTCATTTTTAGCTGGTTTTCATATAAATGCAAAATATGTTATTTTAACTCCAAGTGTCTTTTAAGAAAATAAAGAAAACTAAAAAAATGAAGAAACTATTCATAAGTGCATTATCATGTAAATCGAGGAAATAAATATCCTCCTAGAGGCAAAGAACTTACAATTTTTTGTCTTTGGCTAACTGTTATAGTCTGAAGGAATGCAACTATATAACCAAAAACAACAGTAACTTGGCCTTTCCCAATGAAAAGGAAAATTCATTTATCACAGTGATAGTTTTGCCAAAGTACAAGATTAAAAACACAGTACTAATGAAATATCTGTTTATTCTGCTTATTTTAATATAAACCAAACCACCCGTCTTTTATTGTGACATTAGAATAATTAAAACATAATTTGTAGCTTTCTATGTTAAATTATCTATTGGTTATTTTGGCAAATTTGCCTATTTTACTAAGTGAGTTGAGCTGCAAGAAGACCAAGAAAGTACTACTGAAAAGTGAGGTATTATTCAATAACCAAGAATGCTGGAGATCCAGAACAAACCTGAAGCAAAAGTAAAAATCATTCTCATGGGGGTGCGGGAGGGGGGAAATAGGTAAAAGGGAAAACAATCAGTGAGAAAGTTTGGTGTCTTGATCAGGGTGATGGTTACATGACTAGGACCTGTGCATGCCAGTAGTCACCAAGCTGTATAGGTTGGGAGATTTTATTATATGTACCTCAGTAAAAAAGAAAAAAATCATTCTAGTTCTCTGAATGAAATCTGAGTAAGTCTGTGCAGTTGTCTGTCTTATTCGAAGGACAACTTTTTCATGGAAATATGTATTTCAGCCCTGTGAATTTTCTTTTTCTGGGACGTTCTCATTATTTCGTCTCTGTAGCATTACCAAGATGATCATGTTTTATAACTGATCATGTCACACAACCTTCTCTTTTTTTCTGACAAAATTCTACTCTGAAATGAAAGTCTAGGTTTTGAGAAACCTCTGATGGAGCAGAAAAGTCTCCTTGGAAACACTGCCTGCTAACCAGAAACCCAAGTCAGCCCTGTTTGATTGTTGAGTCACTTTCACCAGCACACTCACACCCACACTTCAAATGAGTGCAGGCTGCCCAGATGAGCTCCATGGCTGTGGGGAAAACAGCCAGAGTGCCAAGGACATGAGGGCAAATCCCAGGACGTGGGGCTTCAAGATGGATGACTTAACCCAAGTCCACGTTAGAAGAGCTTGATCGTGGCCTTTAATTTTTCCTCTGGTATTTCCTAGAATTGCAGAGATAACATGCTCTCTAGGAACTGTGGGGTTGCTCTATCAAGTGATGGTCTGAAATGTGGAACTGCGTTTTGGGGGAAAAAACAAAATCAACGTGAGGTAGCTGATACTGACACACTCAGTGCATGTACTTCTGTTAGCCTCATTTTCATCCTTCTACAGTAGGTAGGAAAGACCTGCAAATGTGGGGTATAATTGCCCTACACCATACTAATAGCCTTCTTAAACTCTAACTGGTGATGTAATCGGCATGTCAGAAAGAAGCATTCCTGAAAAGTCTTGATGAATGTACAGTAAGTCTACTGATCTATAGAGGAGTTTAAAATTATTTAATACACAAGATAAATCTGTTTTAATCAGTCAGACAACAAAATCTCCTCCCATGTGTCTAGCTCAGTGCAGTAGGCTTTGGAGAATGTCAAGGAGCAAACAATTGATAATTATAGATGACCAAGCCCAGGACTACATGCTTTCCATGCACTGTCTCATTTAATTTAATCCTCAAGCCTACTTTATGAAATGGCCACTATACCCATTTTACAGATAAGAAAACCAGGACTATGAGTGCTTCAGTCAAAACTCAAAACAACTGAGTCCCAGTTGAAACCCATCACCAGAGCCTTTGTGAGTCCAGAGTCTGTGCTCAAATCATCACACCAACTGCTCTGCTCTCAGGGGCCCTCTGACCTTGCCTGCCTGTCACTACTGGCCAGCCCTCAATCTAGACATCCAGCAAGAAGACTACCAGCTGAAACTGAAATGTATTACTTTCCAAGAAGACCAACTAATGAATCATCTCAGCAAGTAAATCACAGGATTTGTACTGTGGTAAAATGTGCAGGACAGCAGAAGGGTCAACAAGCACCCTAGGTGTCACGGCCAGTGATGTGTTCTGGACCCGGTCAACACAGCATGAGCAAATACTGATTACAGGTGACCTGTGAAGCTCTCTGGGAGTCATTTATTTGGCCCTCCTTGGGCCCTGCTATCCCCCCCGCCTTTGCC